CATGCGCCTGAAGTCCGAATCGAGTCGCCACCCATTTTGAATCGCACAAGTCCCATCGACAAATGATAATCATATAGTGCTCTCTGCATGTGCCGTACACATACTACTGCTCTAGTCGTACATCTTATAGACCTCTTCTACTGGGACTCGACCACCGGAAAGCTAAAGAGTACGCGATACAGGGCCTGTATAGACGGCTGGCTTATGCTAAGCCAGTCGCGCACAACGATACAACACTCGTACACGCGCGTAACTAGAAATCGTCTCGAGAGCTGTGCAGATCATGGAAATTGACGTGAAAAGACAAAGACTGCAATCGCTCACTGGTTCAAACCGCCCGTCGCCGCGTGCTTCTCCTGCTTCTCTCCGACATCCTTGTTGACGCGCAAGGGGTCGACGCCTTCACCCAAAGGGCCCACGCAAAGTGTTGCTCCTTTGAAAGTTTCACCCCCTTCGGAGAAGAATCCGGAGTATGGCGTCGACGGGCTGAGAGACGCCGGCGTGCGAGTCGAGTAGGTGAGAGCGGGAGAGACGACGGATGAGCTCTCGTCGTCTCCGTCTGCGTCTCGTACGTTGCCATTCTCGCGCACGTCCCTGGGAAAGCCGCCAGCGTGAGCCTTCGCCGCTGAACCGTTCCTCGTCCCGCTCGACTGGGGGACGAATGCTTGCACAGGCTGAGGCGAGGGAGGAGCAGGCTTCACACTGGCGCCCCGAGTGACCTCTTTCTGGTTAGGACGAGAGCCAGCGCTAGGTAGGTTGATGTTGCTCTTGCTGGTGAATAGCGTATGGGTATCGGCCTGAGGCTTCTTGGAGAGATTATTGATGTTCGTGTGACGCGGCGCGTTGATGATGGTGCTAGGGGAGTACGGGATGTGCTTCTGACTGGTGGAGGTAACGCAGGGAGTGCTGATGATGTCGGTAGGGAGTTGTCGATTGTTCATGAGAGGAACGGCGTGGCGGAAGCTCGCGGAATCGTAAGCGGAGTTGCTCGGGTGCGAGAAAGCTTGATTCTGGTTGATATACTGAGAGGGATGGGTGGACGAGCGAGCGCGAAGACCTTGGTCGCCAGCCTCTCCACGCATCTGCGTGGCGAGAGTGTGGTTGCGCTGGCGAGTCTGCTGGCTTGCGATCGAGAGCTGACGCTCAAGATCGTGGGCGAGCGAGACGGGGTGAGCGTCACGATGCGTGCTGCTAAGAGCCTCTCTGTCAACATTCCGCGGGAACGTCGTCATGGTCTCCTGATCTTGGAGCAGGCTTGCGGCAGCATGGAAGTCGTCTTCTGACATCTGCGGTAAACAGTTGAGCAGGCGGCGGTTAATGTCGCGGGCATTTGAGGTCCGCATGCCCTGGTGAGGCCCAACGTGCCCGTCCTGGAGGGGCCTGTGACGCTCCTCCGGCTTCGTCCTGAACGCGTTGCCCCTTTGTCGTGCGTGGGCCTGGAGGATCAGCTGTTCAACAGGCGTATAGCCCTGCTGCGAAGCGTTGCGGAGACCCTGCATGCTCATGAGAGCGAACTGAAGTTGAGTCTGGTCGTCGAGCATGTTACCGGCGCCGTTCAGAGCATGCTGAGGAAGACGCAAGTCGGGTGCAGCAACGTGAGCAGCCTGCGCACTGAGAGTATCTAGTGTCGGGGTGCCGCCCACAAGCGAGGTCAAGCTCGAACCCATAGGACCAGTGAACGCTCCCTGTGCCTGAAGAGGTGATGGATTGGTGACGAACGCGGACGATAGCGAGGCCCCCAGTTGACCGAGCCCGAGATTGTTGAGCGCAAGCCCAAGGTTCGGAGAGATGGGGGGCTGCAGACCGGTCGCATCCAGGTTTCCGAGGGTGGGAGACCCTACATCAGGGCGATGCTGCGTTCCCTTCAGATTCAATAGGGCGGCACGCGCCATGGTCAAGCGAGCCGGGGAATGTTCATCTTCACGAGTATGACGTTCGTTCCGCTGAATATCGACAGCTGAGGAGCCGAGCGAAGTTTCCCAAGGAGACATACTCACGCGTAGTTCGCGTTGTTCCGCCGTGTCGGCAAATCTGACCGATATCCTGCATCCCGCATCGTTCGACCCTCGCACTAACCGCCCGTGAAGTCTCTCGATAATCTCCTCGGCAGCTTCTCGAGATTCAAGACTATGGAGAGGGTGAGGCATTGCGATGACGGAGATGATCAATAGTCCTACCGAACAAACGCGATGATCCTTGGAGGGCTACTCAAGCGCGTAGGAAAGAACCGCGAGCTCATGATGCGATACGGGGTAACCAGCGCGCGAAGGGTTTCTTCGGTTATACTCATAGGAAGACCCTCCATGTAGAGATTGGTGGACGCCGTGTCGCGCAATTGTTCCATCTTTGCCTTGAACGAGTCGACAGGCCCGGTGCTGCACGCCGAAGGTGCGGATGCATAGGCAGTACCGGGGATCTTGTGCACTTGCTGCTTGTGATTCAATATATCGTAACCGTATGCAAGAGCACGTGGACTTGCCTTTGAGAACGACGGGTGCAGGTTGCGATACTTACGCAGAGACTCAATGCATTGTTCTGCCCCCTCCAGTGTCTCGAACCTACGGGTGCAGCGTTGATTATCGATGAGAGGTGTAAGAAGACAGAATGACACCCACAGTACAAATCCGTACCCGCTGTGTGTACAGGAGCGAAGGAGTTGATCAGCATGTTTCGTGGCGACAAATGGGCAATACAAAAGCGAGCTGTGGTTGCCCGAGACCGCTCCGACACATATAAGCGCCCAAGACGGCAGAACCGTAAGAGTTCTCAATGCATAGCGACCGTCACAACAAAGCATACTAGCGAAGTGGACTCACGAGGGTTTATCGCTCACGTGTCGCGTAAAGGTGCGTACGCTCAGCACGTTACCGAACGGACGCGTCATCGCAAGCAGGTCCTCTTCGGGGAAGTTAGGAGGGAGGCCGTTGATGTATACGTTCGGAGGATGCGAGACAGTGCTCTGAGACGCCGAGGGCGCTACGGGTGCTTCAGCTGCTCCTCGCTCGGACTGTGCACGGGCGGCAGCAGGAACGAACGCCGGAGGGAGAACCGCATCGAATGAGCTTTTCCGTAGGTTACCCTCTTGCAATGGAGCTGTTAAAGGGTTAACGGTTAGAGCGTTGCGCGTCATCAAGTTATGGATGCAACATACTAGGGCTGTCTTGCTCGCGCATCCTGTAGGCGGAGGTGCTATCGCAACCCGCTGATACTGCGGATTCCGAGGACACCGCCGGGCTCTCGAGGCCTGGAGCTAGTTCATGTATGTCGATGGGCGTGTCTAGGAGACGTGACTGGAACTGAGGAGCCGCAGCAGAGAGTGCTGACGAAAGAGAGAGAGCGGAGGACGTGTTTGGGCTAGAGTACCCGGGAGGAGGAGAAGCGGCATTGATTACTGCGCGTGAAGAGGAATCGGGAGGGGTGGGAGGGACATGAGGAGTGTAGCCAGACGCTGGGGCTGGGGTCGACGGCGTGTCGCGCGGAGGAGAGCGGGGCAAAGACGCGGAGAGCGAAGGGGAAGGATTGGGCGAGAGCTGTTCGAGAGCGGGAGAGGTGGACATGTCGTAGGAAAATCGGAGTGTATGCGAAGCTGTGAGGAACGTAGAGAGGGCGATTTAAGGACTGGGCCGGAGAGCGAGGGAAAGTAGTATGCAGAGGGTAGCTGTATGCGGGGCGAGGATGTCGGGTGTCGGACGTGGGGACTATTTACGGGGGTATTCGGTAATCTTGTACTCGGTCGATTAGGGTTGAGGCCGTCGGAAGATGTGGGTGCAGACGGGGGAGGAGGGCGGGGGGCGGGGGAGGGGCGGTATATATACCTGGGAGTGGCGGAGAGGCCGTCCATCACACCCCGTCTTCTCTTCGACAGCAGCAGCTGCGTCCATGCCACTCGGTGACCGGATCGGGAAGAGGGATAGCATATTCACCGCTCCGGACACGAGGAGACGCCAGCGCGGGCGGCCCAGCGGAGGATCCTCCCAGGCAGTGCATTGACGCACCTTATCCGGCGGATGTCTTCGCCGCTCGCCGCGCAGCCGGCCTGTGCGCGTGGTCCATGACGCGTCAATGTGACATATCGTAAAGTGAAAAGGAGCCAGCGTCTTCCACCGCCGCTTCCACAGCGACCACGACAGCAGATCGGGGTGCTCTTCACGTCGCCGGGTGTGATCAATCCTTGGTACCCAAATATGGCAAGACGCCCTCTGACGCCCACTCTATGCATTCGCCGGCATTCCAACCTCCGGCGAACTGGCCCGCGGTATACCAATCGCTGTCTCGGCTGGACATGCGCGTGCAGCACTCCATTTTATGGCTTTGCGAACATTGTGGTCTCGCTACTCTGCTCACCGAAGGACTGCTGTCACCGATTCAATCGTTGTGTGAAGAAGGTGAGGTCGATCGACTTCGAACCTAGATCTCGCTACGTTTGTTCTGTCGCGAGGCTTCCTGCGCCACGACAGAAATGTCCGCATCAGGTTCAGATGTTGCATGCCCTTTGTCCTTCGGCTCCGCCACTTGTCAAAGCAATGATTTGTCTCCTTTAGACTCAGACTAATTTAGGCTGTACTGTGCAGTCAGACTATACGGACGAACGGAAGTATGGCAAGCGCATCGGACGTACCACACGAGTAATACACTCGTCGCCCGCCTAGCTCAATCGGATAGAGCGTCAGACTCTTACGGGTTAGGCTTAAGTGGCGACCCAGGGCATCTGAAGGCTGCGAGTTCGACCCTCGCGGTGGGCTAAGGGATGGTTTTCCGTTTTGCAACCAGAGCCGGCGGGCGAAAGGTTCTTGATAGTGCATTCCCGTGTGTATTCTATGCAGTCGAAGCCTGCCGGGGTCAAATAGCGGAACCCTTCAAGCACCCATCGTGTTCCCCACAGTTCCCAATACTCCCGAGACCATACTGTGCCCCGATCTGGTAGACTCAATTTGAGCCTCAGTTATATCCAGCTACAACTGGATGCGATATTAAGGCTAACAGTCAGCATAAAAAGTAACGCCCGCCTAGCTCAATCGGATAGAGCGTCAGACTTTTATCCGCTCATCGGTAAATGTCATCTGAAGGCTGCGAGTTCGACCCTCGCGGTGGGCTACAGGAACTCTCATTTTATCTCCGGAAACTCTATTTTGTTGCTCCGGGACCATAGGGGCGACTGGTAGCCTCGTGTTTGCGTGGGTGTGCACAAGCGAAGTCGCCCACAATCGCCGTTCGTCGGTGCCCCGTTACGGCCTGTTACGGCATAGCTCCGCTAAGCGACGCGATGGCGAGCACGGTGGGCGATTGTTTGTATCGCTTTGGTCGGACACGTTCGGGGCGCTTGTGCACACGAATTGGCGCCTGGTATAGCAGCTTGGATTGCCTCTCGATTGCGTCCATCCACCGAAGAAGCCTCTGCGCGATTGCCTCTCCAGAGCGGGATATATTCCCCCCAGCACCCTCAGCCATGTCCTCATCATCCGCTCTCCAGCACCTCCAGCCACCCAAGTCCTCTCGCATCACCTAGCAACTCGCACCTCGCCCGCATCCACAATGCCTGCCTCCGTCGCCTCGTCCTCCACCGCCTCCACTTCGCGTCCTACCATCTTCGGTCTTTTCGATCGCTCAGCCACACCAGAGCTTGATATTGAGGCGCAAGTCCCTCAGCCCTCCCCTGCGCGCACCTATTCTTCACATGCCTGCGCGTCCGCGGACGATCTCCCCACGAATGCGGTCGATGACTTCTTTGGAGTCTCGCGTCCGTGGAGCTCTCGGCGTACGTCCAGCCTGACGGGGACGCGCGACAGCCGACACGACAACCTCCACGCACCCACGCCGGCTGACGCAGAGTCGCTCCCGCCTCCGTACGAGTGCTCCGTCGAGCCCCCTGCGTACACGCCTGTGTCGGACCAACCGACCCTCGCGCTGTACCTCTTCAAATTCGGCTTCCGTGAGTGCTGCACGCACCTTTCCACCACACATTGTTCGCTTATGCCCCTTCGCCTTGTAGTGTTCCCGCTCTTTTGGGTCGCAGGGGCCTTCATCCTCCTCTCGCCTCTACAAGCGCCTGCGGACTGGGAAGCGACCAAACCCGAGTACGAGCGGCAGGAGCTCATCGAGTCGATGCGCCGGACGGAGGTCAAATGGGCCAAGCGCTGCCTTGTCGCCCTCCTCGTCACCATCGTCGTCGTGGCTGCTGTCGTCCTGACCGCCGTCCTTGTCATACGCTCATGAAACGTCAAATTCGTACCCACGTCACGAAACTCACTTCCTCGGCCACATAACTCCCTGGGCCGCACACCAAAATCGTGGCTCTTTCCGTTCTTGTGCCACCACACTCCCGGTTCATGTCTCCAGAGAGGGCCGCGCCTGCGTCGACGAAATCTTCTATACCCCCTAAACTATCATTATACCTCTCATGTATCATTATTGCTATCTTCTATAGTAGACGAGCCCAGTGTCCACGAACGCAGACATGCCATCTTCCTTCACAACACACCTTCTCGTCTGTGATCCAGCTTGGGGCTTCGATTTACGTTGGCGCGCTGTATCCAGGACCGTGTATGAGGACTGGAAGTGTTGCAATCGCGTCCGCCCAAAGCAGACCTGGCACGAGCGCAGGGAATTTTGAACACTGTCGTACACTATTGCCCCTCCTGATCATTCCTCACCCTAGAACTGGTCTGCTTACAAGAAATGAGCATTGTCCGAGTGATCAGACACGGACAGTCAGTATGAGTGAAAGTTGTCAGACTGGACGGGTTGGATATATCTGTACCGGCGATGCTTACTGATGGCATGCGCTCCCCGGCGCGGATGCGCAGGCTCTCCGATTTCAGGCTGCCACGAGTAATTGTACTCTACAGTCTCTAGGGCCATATTTGATCATATGTTCATAGGTCATATCATATCGCAATTGACAGATACTACTATTACTGCATCAGTAACCCGGGCCAAAGCCTCTCGGAGTCACCCACGGGGGAAGACCGCTTCGCGCATGTCACGAATCACGAGACCGTGGTCGCGCTGCGCGGCTGTATTGTTGTCCGTTTCGGGCGAAGGATGACGCGCGCCAAATCTCAATGGCTGCTTTATAGCCACCCTCAGGCTCGTGTATAAATCTATGGCGATGTTCAAATCATCTTCATCCCGAACCACGACCATCTTCGCCTCTGTTCCTTCTCACCGGACGCCAGCATGCCTCCTCGTAAGAAACAGAAGACAGACGCAGATCACACACAAGCAGCTTCTTCGACTACCGAGTCAGCTGTTCCGACGCGCCGTGTAACCAGAGCATCGACGAGGGGCCAGTCAAACGTGCAGCAACAGCCTAGTACTCGTAGAAAAAGGTCGGTAGCGAAGAAAGCGACCAGCGATGCTTTGCATGCAGATGCACCCCCAGCCGCGAAGAGGATTGTTCGTAAAGGTCGCCTTCAATCACTGCCTGACTTTGCGTTGGAAGTACAGCTCGAGGTAAGCTGATCTAAGGAGGTAGCCTTCGACTGTCCATGTGGCTAACCGACACGCCACTCGTAACGCACAGATATATAACTACCTCGAGCCCCAGGATCTCTTGCACCTCTCGCGCACATGCAAGAAGTTCCGCGCCTTCTTCCTAGACCGCAAGCTCAACGAGCCTCTATGGCGACAGGCGCGTCAAAACCTGAGCGCCGACGCCCTCCCTCCGCGGCCTCCGTTCATGAGCGAGCCCGCGTTCATTCACCTGCTATACTCGCCCCACTGCCACGTAAGTTACAGAAGCATCCTCCCCATTAGCAGACGCTGAATCGCCTGCAGAATTGTGGTGCTCCCAATGTTCGCAAGATTCTTCCTGCCTGCTTCATGCGATGCTGTTCGAAATGTCTTCCAGAACGGTATGTCAGGCTTCTCAGCCAATCTTACAAAGGCTGATCACCATCAATAGCACTGTCTGGTACCGCGACGCAGTCGATGCGGCGCGTGACATACATTACAACTTCACTTACATGTTCGACTATCGTTCCGTAGAGTCGTACTGTCCGTTGCTGGAAAAGACGTAGTGAGTGTTGCCCGTTCGCATGTTCGACTTGCTCGTGAATCATTCTGACACATGCTCACTCGTATTCTCAGTCACTCACATGATGAGAGGGGCAACCGACTGTTGCTGGATCACGTTACCCATCTTCTTGACGAATGTAGAGCGGTCCCGGCCCCCATCACGACTGAAGCTATCGGCGCCCTTCAGAAACGGCTACGAGAAGAGTACCGTGAACGTCTTCGGGTATGCCAAAGATAGCTCGAGCACTATGTTATCCTTCACTAACGTTTCTCTACCAGTTCGCGAGACCGATACACAACTGGCTCCAGGCACGTGAGGAAGAGAGGAAGGTTCATCTGGGCGATTCCAGAAAGCAACGGTTCGAGGAGTACGTGCCCGATGCCTTCATGTCTGCCGTTCAAGGACTCCACTCATTCTACCTTCCCACAGAATCGTGCTTCGGTTGCGCGAGGGCGGGTGGAACGAAGAGCTCGACTTCATAGGTGAGGACGGTATCGAGAAGATGTCGAAGTTCCCCGTCGTGCGGCAGTCGTCGAAGCTCACGGAGGGAGGTGAGTGAAATCCCCAGTACGCGCGGACGCCCACACGCTCACACAGGCGATGCGACTTCACAGCATGGCAAAAGGTACTCGCAGCACTCGAGACCTACCTGAATGACACGCGCAAAGCCCGGCTGGACAAAGAATACCGGACCGCCATCCGCGCGCGGTTCGACGCGCTCGACGAAGCTATCGCTGCATGCTACGTCACGCTCCCCCGGACCGCCCGCATGGACTGCCGGCCGCAGCCTATCGACCTCGCGTTCACGCCGGAGTGCAAGGCGATCATAGACGTCCCGACGTCCGAAACCGTCACCGCCGCCAACTTCGCATCTCTGCTCCCGAAGATGCTGGCTAAGTGGGAGGCAGACCGCAAGAAGGAGTTGACGAAGTTCTTTCGCAAGGTCCTCGGCAAGATCCCTGCTGGTGTGGATCCTTTGGAGCTAGCGATCGCTTCTTTTCCCTCTTTCAGGGAGTTGCCTGGGGCGTTCCAATGCAATGGCGCCATCGAATGCATGCGGTACCCGGCGATCTTCGCCCATACCTGCTGCTACAATTGTTTCCGCTCGCGGCCCGTCACGAAGGAGGAGCTCGAGAACGACGACCGGTATACGTGCACTGTCAAGTCGCTGAAGTGGTCCGAAAAGTGCCTCAAGGGCCTCGAACGACCTTATCACGGCCTGCGGGCCTACGTTCCATTCACCCTTGCGGAGCTGGAAGAGCATCCGGATATTGTCCAGAGGGTGGTTGCGCAGATGCGGAAGATCGTCTCTGCGCTCGGATTGGATCCGATGAGGGCGACTTTCGAGGAGCTGGAGGCTTGCGACACCTGGCTGCGTTGCCGAACATGCGAGACATCTGAGGTGAGGAAGTACGAGCCGCGTCAGAAAGTCTACGCGTACTCGTGGAGGGGAGCGGTGAGTCCAAGTCGGGCCCAGGATGCTGGCTTCGCTGCCACTATTGCTACTGACACCTCTCATACTCTTGTCCAGTTCGAGCACGACTACCGCTGTAGCCACTACGCTGCGAAGAATTGGCGCCGCGCGGACGAAGAAGACTATGTCAAGATTCGCGCTGCTCTCAAGGAAGCGTCAGAGAGGAGTATCGAGTGGGCCTCGCGTCGGCACTACGACCTGAAATGGTCTTGCTCTCTCTGCCCTGTGTTCGTAGGTGATAAATGGGAGATCTCGGACCATCTGGCGAACAGGTGAGGGTTGCAATCTAGGGTGGAATCGTATCGCAAGCATCGTGCTGACTGCGTGTTCCCCTTTCAGCCACGGCATCGAGGAGCCTGGGCAGGCGGAGACTGACGGGACTATCTATGTTCATCCTGCCTGGGATCAACACTCTCTACGCCCCGACGAGGTCTTCCTCTATAAGCGCGCAGTCGAACAGGAAGGCCGCTGCAGGTGACGCTTGAGGCGCTTCGCAGTACCCTTCGGCGTCATGTCTCTGCTTGCATTACAACCCGCGATACACTGCATACTACCTCCACCGTAGCCGTCTCCCTTCCTATGTACACACATGTGCTCATACAC